TTCTGCGAGAAGACAAAACAAGTGATACAGATCTATTTTCGTACAGATCGTTCAAAGGGTTCGAAATTGACTGAAACTCTCGATTCGTTTTCGATTCCGCTATGGATGTTTTATTTTCTTCAGATACCAATGATGCTAAAAGTGAGATTCCCTCATTTAACAAATTTTTTGTCAATCGCAAGAAATTTCAAATTGATACTGCAACTTAGCAGAAACGAATGTTCTCTTTTCTCTCACAGGAAATTCTCCTATATTGATAAATTCGTTTTGAACAAAGAAAACTTTGAATGGGACTTAGAGAGGTGTGGTTTTCATCGTTCGAAAAAGTGACTTTTCGAGAAGAAAAATGTGTGAAACTCAGTTGATCAAGCAATCGACTAATCAAATAAGATTTTATTGCGCATGTTGTAAGTTTATGATATCGAGATATTTGAAGTATCGTATCTGTATGTGTTTATGACATATATGTATATAATATATTGTAGTTTAATATTATCGAAAAAAGCGGTAATTACACTTTTCACAACAGCACTTCTGCAGATTTTTATTTGCGCCCACCTGTTGTTCGCCATCTTCCGTTTTTGTTGACGTTGGAATTTTGGCTTGAACGACGTTATTATATGTAACTGAATATGTTCGATTAAAGCATATATGTTCCTCGAGCTCACAGTTTATGGATTTTTTACTAGTAGAGCACTCATTGTCATAACATGAAGATCGAATGGGTGCTGTCACGCTTTGAACGAAACATGTCGTTTTTACATAACCTCTGAAAGTTCTCATATTAATTACAGCAATACCTAGACCAAAACCAATGGTTACCACGGTTACATACATTAAACAGAAAATCATGATTCGGCAAGGATATGATAATGCCATTACTTCACTTCAGACATGAAAGAAAAGAAAGCATGATGAATGAAACAAAATACGGATGTCAATTCGAGTCAACATATTTTTTTATTCGAAGATAAAGAAAGAAAAAATGAACTCGAAATCCACGATTAGTTACAGTAGTCCGTCTTTAATCGTATTACCCTTCGAATCTTGAGAGATATTTTGAAGGTGCTTAAGCATAAAGATAAAGATGAATATGTCGTGTGGAAGTTCCTCTTAGTTACAACTCGAGCATATTCTATGAGGTGACAGTCCGAGCTGTGCCGTGTATTACAGCTTCGTTTTATCAATGAAAAGAAATTTCGATGAGAATACAAAAATTCTAAAAGGCTTTGTACCTTATTTATTATCGTTGAAATAGATGAAATGAGGAATAAATTGAAGAGAAAATTAAAAAAATGAAATGTTCGATACTCACGGAGATTTTTAAAAGTATTGTTTTTTGTGAGACTATGAAAAAAACGATCAACTCTAGTGACTTATAAGGATATGTACCAATTTAACTGAATAAAAAAATGCCTGAAAGAAAAAATATTAAAGTCGTATTAATGGTGCATCTACAGACGCCATTCATATATAATTGCAAGGTATTAATACTACTGCGGATTATTCACGCAGTGTTGGCGAAAGGTTGTGCTGGCCTATTAGCATTATATGTGAGTGATAGGAGGAAAAGGAAAGAAAATAAAATAAAATAAAACATATATGCATGAATGGAGAAAAAGATTACCTTCGTGGGACTCGAATCCACGCCTTCTACTATCCGGACAGATGTCCTAAGCCAGTTAGACTAGAAGGACCATCTAATTCTCCATTTACCGTCGACATGTATCATCACTGACGCTAAAATGACCCGACATTAATAGCACCTACGATATTTTCTATTTTGACATTTTTTACTTTCGGTGTTTTATCTTTCTGCCAAAATGTCATTTCTCATAAGTATTTCTGTAAGGTTCAATAAGCATGGATGATTTTTCATCTCAAACTTCATGTAATCAATTCGCAAGTTTCGAAAATATATGGAGTGAGTAATGACTTTATTCGAGATGTGAAGTCCACAACTGAACTATCGGAAATATACACTATTCTTTGAATACCGGGTGAGACAAAAGTTTTGCAACATTTTTTATTTCGCATATATCTCGACTTGAGAAAATGATAAAATCTTGGTTTATTTTTTAAAAGATGCACCGTTAAAAGCTCTACAGAATTTGCATAGAAAATCCCTATTGGCTTGTTCTGATCGTTCTCCCCATACTCAAAATGAGGAAGCAACATGATAGTGCTTTGTTCCACCGTAATAAAAACGCTTGAAAGACTTTTTTGTTTTGCATATGTCTCGGCTTGAGCAAATGATAAAATCTTGATTTTTCTTTTAAAAGATGCGTCATGACAAGTTCTACAAAAATTGTATAAATAAATCTATATTGACTTGTTCTGATGGTTTTTCCCATACTGAAAATGAAAAACCTACATGTTAGTGCTACTTCTCAGCGTATTAAGCGTAATAAAAATCTTTGGAAGACCTTTTTTGTTTCGTAATAGAGATTTGTGCGTACAGGTTTTGTAGAGCTTTTCACGGCGCATCTTTTTTAAGAAAAATCAAGATTTCATCATTTTCTGAGACTGAGATATATGCAAAACAAAAAGTCTTCCAAACAGGTACATTATGGTAGAACGCAGCACTATCATGCAGCTTTTTCATTTTTAGAATGGGATAAACCATCAAAACAAATCAATATGGATTGTTTAAACAGTTTTTGTAGAGGTTTTTACGGCGGATCTTTTAAAAGAAAAATCAAGGTTTTATCATTTTCTGAAGCCGAGTTATATGCGAAATAAAAAATGTTGCGAACATTTTGGGACACTTAGCAGCATCATCACGCAGATTTTTACTTTTAACGATCTCGAAAAACCATCAGAGCAAGTTAATAGGGATTTCTTCATACCGCTTATGTAGAGCTTCACACGGCACATCTTTTAAAAGAAAAATCAAGATTTTATCATTTTTCCAACATAAACAAAACCGTCTTCCAAGCATTTCTATTATACTCAATGCAGTGGGACAAAGTACTACCATGTTGCTTCTTCATTTTGAGTATGGGGAGAACGATCAGAACAAGGCAATAGGAATTTTCTATGCAAATTCTGTAGAGCTTTTAACGGTGCATCTTTTAAAAAATGAACCAAGATTTTATCATTTTCTCAAGTCAAGATATATGCGAAATAAAAAATGTTGCAAAACTTTTGTCTCTCCTGGTATCTCATCACATCTGTCAGACACATTCAATTTTACTCCATTTCATCAATGTGTACACATTCATCTACATTTATTGGTAATGTAAATAGAATGGTCTAAATGAATAAATTGTTTTATTAACTATACAGCATGAGAAAAAGAACTCGAATAAATGTACAGAATAGGCGATGGAGAACGAGTTATTAATTGAAAGAGAGACCTTGAAGAAATATTCTTTCGTGCCTTCCAGTTCTTTTGAAATGTATGTTGTTCTCAAAATAAGAGGAAGAACGAACGAAAAATGTTTTTCTCAATGTATGTATGTCTACACACACATTAAGATTATTTTTCATGTTCGTTCTTATTCATCTTATTTTAAGAAAGACAAATAAAGTAAAGAAATAAAAGACGAAGAAAAATAATACTTCAAACTCTCTCTCTTCTTGCAAAATTGATCTGTTCTGCATCATACATACTTAACTTATACATTTTCTTCTGTTTTTTTTTCGTCGATTATTTCTCCACGATTTATTATTCGAGAACATATTGAGAGGTCGCTAGATAGTTGAAAATAAACTGCCTAAAAGTGGTCCGATTGAGATCAAATAGTCTCAAGATGGCTAGATCTGAATATCTCGCTGTCTTGACTTCCACGAATAAATGTTAAACTGCAAAAATAGTAGTTGCTCGAAACTTAAGGCACTCCCCCCCTACCCTAATTTTTTTTACCTTTCGATCGTCCAATCTTGCCGAAATTTTTACAAAAGGTGTATCTTGGATCAGGTATTATATGTCGTATATTACGATAATAAAACAATTTTCTTTGAAGTATTAAATATATAAATATATAGTAACATTCTGTTCGAACTTTTTCATAATCAAACGAATTGAAAATAAATCTATTTTTGTTTCGATGAAATATGTTGAATACTTTGTTCAATTTCAATTACTCTAGAATGTGTTGGAGGTAATGAATGGCGAAATATTGTTGCTGCTTGTGTAATATAGAAGAGTGCTTCAGACATTTCATCTTTTCTTTCATAAGCAAGGCTGATATTCTCAAGTGTTATTGCAATTTCAGGATGTTGAGGATGAAGAGATTTTTTTGATATTTCAAGTAATAAATTCAGATATTCTAATGCTTGATCATATTGAGCAAGACTTTTGTAAATGCTACCAATATTATTGTATGATGTATCCAATTGAGGATGATCGGCAGGAAGATATTTTTGACGAACAGCCAATGCCTTTGGTTAATACTCTAATGCGTCTGAGTATTTCTCCTCATCTTGATAGATAAAACCCATATTATTGAGACACATAGCCACATTTGGATGATCTTCACCATATGCTTCCGTAAAGATTAATAATCCTTTCTTGTATGATTCCAATGCATTGGTATAATCATCTTTAGTATAATAATCAGCAGCAATAGCGTTGTGAATTTGAGCAATATTTGGATTATTTGAGTTTAAGGTTTGCATAAAGATTTCTAATGCTTTATTATACCAATTCAGACTTGATTCATAGTCTCATTTCGAATAGGTCACTCTTCCGAGTGCAAAATAGCAAATAGAAAGATTTTGATTATAATTCGATTGTTCTTGCAAATAACGACGAAAATATTTTTCAGCATCATCTAATTTACCCATTTCGCAAAGTACATGTCCAAATGTATACAAATCTGTTTCGTCATTACCTGATTCATTCTTCATATGTTGAAAAAGTGGTTGTAATTGATGATCATCATCAGAACATAACACCATTTGAATATTTCAAATTCCATCATTATCATTACGTATAATCTGAACAAGTTGAAAAATTGATCCAATCATAAAAATAACTTCTTCTTCTGGAAAATAACTCTGTGAAGTAATATTACTAAAAGATTAAATATTAATTAATTGAGGATCAGCATCAATTTCGAAAAGAACTTGTTCAATGTCTTTATGAGAAGAATTAACAGAATGAAAAAATGTTCGAGCTTGTTATTGATTAAGACTAGTTGAAAGAAATGAATTCATTGAAACAAAATTTCCAATAGAATTTTTTAATATTTCGATTTCTTCTTTTGACATTAATTGTGCTTGAGAAACATGCATAAATGATGAACATTTATTATTTTCTAATTCATTACAAAGATCACGAATGAAGAATCGAAATAAATATAATAAATTAATATTTTGTATTCGAAATGGTTTGTTTAATAATCGATAGATAAATGATTGTCTTGTATACCACCATATTGATCGATTTAATGAATAGCCGTTTTCAAATTCTTTAATCATTTTAATTCAATAGGATTATTCTTATATTGTTGTTTAAATAGAGCAATAAGTTCTTGTTTTTCGTTTGATGATGATTCCATTTGAAGTATACAATCAATTAATAATTGATAATGAATAAATTCATCATTTAATTTAGTTGATGATTGTCCTTCTTCACGAGCATTTAAATTAAATATACCGATTGATAATGGTTCATCAAATTTATAATGTTGTCGTTGAGATTGATCGGATTGTATTTGATGAATTAAATTATTTAATCGATCAAATACGCCTTTGATCTAAAATAAAATAAAATAAAATCAATGAAAATTATGAGAATATATTTACTTTGGAATATTGTTGTGTCCATTGTTCATGATCGTGTTTATTTGGACAGTAAATATAAATAGATATGATTTGATGAAATTGAGATATTTGAAGAAGACATTCTCGACCTAAATTTTCATTCACGATCAAAATAATTCGTTCATCTTTTAAAAGAGATTCAATATACTGAAGACATTGTTGTTGGTCTTGATATATTAATACATGATTCATTGTTGTTCGAAGTTGTTGTTGAGCTTGATGATTCTCTCATGAATTATTTACTGAATTATCCAACCAAATTAAAGAATTTATTTCAAGATTTTCAACTTCTTCTTCTTCTTCTTTTTGTGGTATATTTGTCAAAAATGCACCTATCACAATGGCTATGTACGAACTAAAAATGAAGAGAAAAGTTCGTTTTTATTTTGACTAATGTATGCACTTGGAGTGTATTTTTTTCTTTTTCTTTGGCAACATCTTTCAATGTAATTGTGAAAGAAAAAGAAAATAAAAGTAGGTCGCTCGTTTGTATTACCATGGCAATGAATATCATTATATGCATTGACACATTTTAACCAGAAAGAAAAAAAGAATTCCACAATGTAGCACTGGGAAAAAACAATATTCTAAAAATAATTTGAGTATTTTTTGCTTCTAATTGAAATAAATATTTCACAATAACCTTTCATCATTCTCACGGTATTAAAAAGTTTAAGATTTTCTTTTTTTTTATTACGTTATATAAAATATATTTTTAATGTTCGGTTATCTTCACGATTTGAAATGAAGTAACATACAGGTAAACTATATGTCTTAGTTTATATGTAGAAATATTTATGATTAATTGTATGGCTTTTATTAGATTGTTTTCGTTTTGTTATTTATGCGTTCATGTGAGAAATAAATATAATGTTTTTATATAAAAATGATTAGTAGTATTAAAAAACAGAATGTTTAAGTATTTATATATAATAAATCTTTTAATGATCTCTAATATTATGTCTAACGTGCATTAATGTGGTTCCTAATTGATTTTTTCCAGTTCCATCTCCTCCATCCCCCCAATAGGAGTCATTTTTTGTATGTTCAACTAAAGTACGATGACCAGTTGATAATAATAATTGTTTAAGTTTCCAATGTTGTGTAAATTTCGCCTTACATGCTTTATACATAACTTCATCTTTGATATCTGGCCAGTCAGGTCGTACTAAAGATTTATGAGCTTGAGCATAGTCAAATATTTCTCGAGGAGTAGCTAATTTTAAGATATGTTTAAAATGTCTTTCATGAAAAATAAATTTTTGTGCTTGAAAATAATGTTCACTAGTTGGCCAAATATATCCATCTAATTCGATTGGAGCAGCATAAAAGTTACTAAATTCACCATATGGTTCATCGAGATCATAAAAATAAATAGGTGTATGTGCCATTAGGTATTGTCGCAAAATCTAGAAAAAAACGATCTAGAAACAGAAAATTTTAGAAAAATCAATTCTACATTTTATGGTTCAGCCATTGCAGTGCTAACTGAATTTCATGAATTCGGAGCCCATATGAGAATTGAAGGAATTCCAATTTACAAAAAGCCAAGCTGCGAGTGGAACTGCTTTAGTAGTGTCGGATAGGGCGTGGATGATGCGACGTTTCGCACAGGATATATCATCGCATATAGGTGCTCCGAAACCACCTATCATTTAAGATCATATGAGTTTCAGGGAATTTCGAATTCATGGAATTCCGCCATGTCGCAGAGATTGCAGTGAACGCTTTTTTCTAGATGTTTATTTTTCTAGATTTTGCGACATATTCTACCGTTATAGAGTCGTCGATTTTACAATATATTAAATTTTCTTTCAATAATGTTTTATCAAATGTTTCTTTTTCTTTTTCGTCACGCATTAATGATGATGATAAAATAATGTTTGAATAGACACGCATCATTAACTGAAAAAGCGTAGGAAAATTGTTATTTTCATTCTCGATCGATGTTAAACTACTATGATGAACAGTTAGATGTCAAATATAATTAACCAATAGACCAAAAAGCATAGAATCGATGAATACCAATCTCAATTTACAAAATATAAAAATGTTTACATCGATGAGAAGGTTTTACAACACAACAAATGTCATGATGAAAAGAAAAATTCCATGAATCATTGTGCACAACCAGTGGCGCAACCAGAATTTATTAACCAATAGATAAACTTCGCTTGTGTCAGAAAAAAGTGGTGGGCAAAGTGGGCAGGATTTTTATTGATAGGCTAAACAAAATACTAATAACGTAAAAAAAGCTAAAAAATTAAATAAGATCCTTCTAATCAAACATGCATAGGAGTGCCACACAGTGGGCAATTTTTCGCATGCACGCGGACATTTTGTTTTAAAACACTCCAATATATTCAAAAATACTTTTCTTATAGGTTTTCGCATGTGCTCTTTTCAATAGAGTAGTTTGCAGAACTCAGAAGTACTTTTAAGTTGGTTTTCCCGAGATCCAAATGGTCTTTTATATATCTAGTTCCGATTTGTCCATCATTTCTTATAGATTTTTGAGTACGCTGATTTTGAATCTGGTAATAGAAAAGTTTTACGGAACCTTCAAGAAGATTTTCTTGAAATCTAGGTCTTTGGAAACTACTTTTAATAGAATACTTAAATTGAACCGTTTTCTATGTTTTAGCAAATCTTAACAAGAGCTCAGACTGGAAAAGCACGTTGTCGTATCGTATATGGTGCCCACCACCACCCCTTGACTCTTTTTTTATGGAACTGGTCAAGTCATTAGACTTCTTTTACAAATTGTAGACCGGTACCTCAAGATCGTTTTTCGTGGATTTGCTATATATACGAAAAAAGAATAAAAATTGATGCTAAAACTAAAATTAATGAAAAAAAACTTATAAAAAAAATTCAAAATAATTAACTATCTGCAAGCATACTATAAAAAAGGTTATCGTCTTCATTGTTACATGCCAAGACTGTTTTGTCTTTTCTTTTTCTTTTTGCCCAAGCATGTTGCGTGGACCCCCTTGGTAGCATCCAGCTTTGTCCCAAGAGATTGTGATCACAAAATCCAAAGATCCAGGATCTTACCATTGTTCCTGACTGTATCACAACCGAGCATTATTAACCTAGTTAATGATCTTTGCAGATTCATAGTTTCACGTCATTGCGGAGAAAACAATGAAAAATGGGATTTTCACGTATGACTGGATTTTGTTGAAAAGTGATCTCGTCTTGAAGTCATTGAAAGGCACATCATTCAATGCAGTTTCTCGTGCTGATTCCGAATATGTGATTAGTTTTGTCTGAAAGTACTTCTAACCCCAAGAAAATAAAGAATACTCTGGAAAACCGGAGGTTTTTGTAAAACCTCTAACCCAGTCCAAGAGCATTTACGCATCTTTACGCTAAGTGAGTAGATGTGTCAGACAGATTTAAACATTATGTGAAAATTTCACGCGTTTTGAAGTTGTGCTAAAGTGTGCGCACTCACTACACTGAACACCTCTTTTTTGGAAAACCCGCGGTTGAGAAACAATGCATGGTTTTTCTAACAGAGAGACTGTTAGAGCAAAGTCTTTGTTATAGAACGATAGAGCAAGAGCTCTACTTTCAGAATCTGCGTGATTTATTCTTTAAATCATTCTACTTTCTTTGAAACAAAACGCTTTTCTCAAAATTGACAGAAATCAGGCCATTTTTTGGATCTAAGGTTTTTTCGATGTTCTAAAGAGTTAAAATAAAAAAAAGGTTATCAAAAAATCGGCAATTGGTTAAAGTATATTGGACATTATTCAAATCGCGAAAAATATCACTTTCATTTTTTCACCAAATGTCCACGTTGTTGCCCATTGTGAGCGGAGGATTAATTCATTAGATTATTGTATGAAGAGTTCTATAGTTTAAGTTTGAGGCATTCATTCATCAGCCGCTGGCCTTTATCGTTCATCTATGAACTTGGACCTTTGACTCCGTAATAGATATGCATAAATTAAATATCGAATATCTCCCTCTAGACAAACTAATGGCCGGTAATATTTTAGCTCTGTTAGTTTCTCAGTGAGAGCTTCCATTTGACCCCAATATATCTAGGGAATTTAACTGACAACAAAAATACCTTCATTATTAGTACTGCTAGACCGCAGATATCTATAGCTTTCAACTTTTAAATAAGAATAACAGGTTATTATTACGCTACAACAGGACCTTAGACACTTAATTTAATGCAAGCTGAGGAGATTCACTCCTTTGGATTCTTTTTTTTTCTTGCCTATCTTCTTCATTTTTTTAAAATTTATTTAATTTTTCTGTAACGAATGCGTGTGGGTGAGTGTGAGATTGTGAATGTGGATGTTTGTAGTATCTTAGTTCACACTCATACCCACACCATCAAGGTAAATTGTTCTGTTTCATTAAAATTCACTTGAATTTCTGCTGACTGTGGTATATTTTTGAATATCGAAATAACTTTAGGATTTTATCTCGTCGTTTCTTTAGTTATGGCATCGTAGATGTTTTGCTTGTGAAGTTTGTGGCATATTATTGGATCTTCGTCCGGTACGAATAAAAGACAAACAAATATTGTATTGTTTCATGTAAGAATACTTCGTTTCTACTTTTTAAAAATAGTAAAGAAAAACCTTGCTGTATATAAATATCTGCTATTTCACGCATTATACTACAGACAATCAGGCAACCATGGATATGACTCAGTTTTTGTTGAATAAAAATAAGAAAGATTTGGCTGAAATAAGTGTCAAAACAGATACAACTAAGTCTAGAGATCCATCATCAATGGTAAATGAAAAAGATCTCAATATAAAAGCAAAGAACATAAAATTCATTTTTACATAAGTAGAATGTTGAACCAGTTGCTGAATCAACTAGTGAACTCAAGGCGCCAAATTCTAAATTACCTAAACAAGGTATTGCAGGTAACGGTTTTAAAAAGAATTGTGTCAAGTAATAGATTAATTTATACTTTTTTTCCTCTTCAAAATTAGAAGGTGTTGTGAACAGCATACCTGAATCATGGTCAATAGAACAAGTAGCTCAATGGCTTTCATCAATCCATTTGGAAAAACATATCGAGAAGTTTAGAGGTAAGTTTTCTTTCACATTTTTTATAAAAGTTAAGAGTACCATGAAAATCTGTCTATGTAGTCGACGACAAAAGTTCCGCCCGGTTTGCAATGAGTTTCAAGATGTTTACGCAACACATAGTAGTTTTATAAGTGTTTGCTTCTTCTTTGAGCAAAGTAAAAATATGTAAATATATCCATTTTTGAATGACTTGTTGAGAGATAAGATAGGTTGTATGATACGAGACCGAAATTTCGAGCTGATGAATTTCTAGTGAATGAATTACAACTCGAAACTTCGTGCTCAGTGTTCTTGGTAATGTCCGTTGATGGAGCATCACCAAAGCTCTTCTCTCGGAATGGTCAAAAGTTATAAACTTGAACTCACTTCACATGAGCGATCTCATCTCTCAACAGGCCATCCAAAAATGGATGTATTACATACTTTTACTTTACTCAAAGAGGAAGCAAACATTTATAAAACTACTATGTGTTGCGTAAATGTCTTGAACTTCTCTGTATATATATATATATATGTGTTGCATTTTATTCTCATACGCCAAAAATAATACCAAAAAATTCATTTTGAGACGGGTGAAACTTTTGTCGTCGACTGTACGTATGGCTTTTAATTCAAGATCGTATTTCTAATTGCAAAAATTTTCAATTTTTGTTGTTTTACATAATTTATTTTTTTTTTAAACAAAGTGACTATTTTATCAATCGTTTTTAGAAAATGAAATTAATGGCTCATTACTAATGAGTGATGGTTTAGATGATATACTATTGAAAGAATTAATTCCTCCATTGAAATATCGAATAATTTTCAATAATGAACGTAAGAAACTTAGGTAATTCTTTTCACATCATTAAACTTTCTCTTGTTGTATTTTAAGCAAAAAATATTGTTTCAGATCAAGACAACAGCAGAAATCGACAATATCAACAGCCAATACAAATGATATTCGTGTTACACTAAAATCAACCAACACATCTAAAATGGTAAAAGATAGGAGTTTAAGTTAAAGAAAGCATTCTTTTAAAGATATTTTTTTTTATCTATTAGGAATTATTGTCATCTAAAAACAATAACCAGTTTTTAGGTACTAATGCCACACAAAACAAAGACATACACAGTTATAAAACTTTACCGACAGGTAAATGAAGGTCTTTTGTATTGAGTAGTGATTCATATGAGATGTCTAAGCTAAGTATCAGAACATTATAGATCTTAATTTACATTTCGAAAGATACAACTCCTACTTCTTAATAAAGGATGTATTTAAGTGCTGACAGAACTAAAATTATACTAAAGTGTATACCATTTGGATATCTGTAAAATAATTTCTTGGTGAAAAATGCTGTCAATTGTGAGAAATTTCAAATATTTTTTTGAACTGAACTTTTAGAGACTTAATATGCTGTTGTAGGTTTTTAGTAAAAGATTCTCCATATCAAGTACTCGCAGTGCTACCGTCTCTGATCAGTAGAGTTCAACGGCTCTGTGTAGTAAAAATGAGAAAAAAAAAGAGTCCGGTTCCGTTCTCGAAAAAGTTACCTGGAACTAGCTGAAACCGTTAAATTAACAAAAGCATGTGAAAGATTTTTGAAAAATTTGGGTTGTTTCATTCTTGACATTATAAGATGTAGATATTTATTGAAAAACCATTTTGTTCAAAATATACAAGAGAAAGTAAAACAATAAAGAAAATTTTAATAAAAAAAATTATGTTCAATATATACTTACGTAAATACAAACAACTTCTTAAAAAAAAGTCATTTTCATCTTATTTATGTATTAGCATTAGAATTCGCTACTGTATATGAAAAATTTCATTTCCTCAACAATATAGAATATATACTTAGAACACTTATAACTTCGCAATTTAATATCTCGGTCAAATCTTAATCTCAGCCCGAAACCTTTGAAGTTTCTTCTAGTCTATAGGCCTTCTACCATTGGGAAAAAATGGACTCAAAAATTTCTAATCACCTGATGACCTTCACTCGTTAGTACATCAATATTTGAAGTCATCCAGAAGATCACTCTTTACATGTACGTATACATATTATATTCGGTGTGATTCAAAAATCACACATGATACTATGGATCTATGTTTTTTTTTGTCTTCCACTTTTTGACTAACAGTGCTCAATAGCTTATCATTATAATCATACATCTTTCGGTTATAGAATCTTCTGTAGATTTGGAGAAAATAAAGATCGAGGGTGGGTGTGGGTGTGGGGTGTGGGTGGGTGTGGGTGTAGGTGTGGGTGTGGGTGTGGGTGTGGGTGTGGGTGGGTGTGGGTGTGGGTGTGGGTGGGTGTGGGTGTGGGTGTGGGTGTTGATAAAGAGAAGACTAACACCCACACCCCCACACCCAAAATAAAAACTGAAAAAAGTTAAGATTTTGTCTGAACGAGCAGTCAACTACCAAAAGAGTTTGAATATTTCTCTTTTTTTTCTAAGATATCATTATAAAACTTCTATTCATTTCTACTGCACTGATCCTTCTAGTTTTTGTCAAAGTAGTATGTATTTAGTTGGAAACAGTGTTGCCACATTTTACAGTCCGAAAAGCAGAAAAAAGCAGAAAGTATATTTGCTGACATTCGACTCGGCCTTTTTTTTTCCTTTTTCCTTTTTTTCTCTTTTTCTCTTCCTTCAATATTTTCTTTTTGACCCCATTTTTTCTTATTTTCTAAAAAATGACAGTCAGTGATAAGTATTTTTTGCAAAAAAAGAGAGGAAAAAACGTCGACAAGAAATAGATGTGCAAGTCGTCAGCCGATTTGTGTTGAAACAACGTATTTTCAAAACGACGACTTACGCTTTTAAAAAACACGCTTTTGAAGAAAAAGAGGAAAAGAGGGAAGGAGGAAGAGAGAAAAAGAGGAAAAAAGAGACGTAGTGAGATGTCAGCGTTTGTGATTTAAATTTCTTTTCAAGCTTTATTTCAGCATACTGAGTAAGTATTTCTATATCAAATTTTGATGCTTTATTGTGAAGGATGCGTAGAAATGTTTTATCCTTAGAGTCACACTATGCTTTTTAAAACCATTCTTAATAAACTTTATGCCAAATTAACGCATTTCGAAAATGGGATTTATCAGTATTACATAGTAAAGACTAGGACAATGTTTCAATGTTGAACTTAGGAAATTTCGATGGTTGTACGCTCTATAGGCATAGAAAATCACTTTTATAAAGAGGTTCAAACTAGGTCTAATTTAAAAGGATGGATATTGCAAGTTTGTATTTGTCTTCTAGGTTTCATGAATATTATCAATAAAGAGTATGAGGAACATTAGCTTTCTTCACATTACGAAGATGACATAGATACAAACATAAGAGTTTCAGATAACTCGGTATTTGTTTTCCTGTTTGCCAAAACATCTACAAAGTGTTGTTTAGTCTTTTCTTGATAATGCTCGTGTTCCGTTTCTGGCAGTACTTAGTGGAGCTTTATTTCTGAGTATGGTTTCAGTATTTCCGGGCCAAGTGTTGAGTACTTTGAGATATTAATTCTTTCAATCAGACCTAGTTTGAACCATCTTATGGAGGTAGTTTTCTATATATACCAATAGGGCGTAAAACTCTCAAAATTTCCCAATTTCGACATTGAAACTTTATCATGATCCTTACTATCTAACACTAATGGATTGAGTTTTTGACGCACATTAATTTGGTACAAAGCTTATGAAGAAGGGTACTTAATATCATAGTGTCTTGCTCCTCTCAAGAAAAACATTTTTATGCACCTTGTATACTAACAGTTTTCCAGCCAGTACAAAATAAATATTATCCTTTTAAAGAAATGATGATAGAACAAAAACATTGACGGCCATGGATGAGGATTTCGTTTTATAATAATGAAAAAAGATGTTTGAGATGGAAAATGTTAGTTAAAAATGTAAATGACAAAGTATCTTAAAAAAGCAGAAACAGATCGAAAAAGCAGAAACGACAGAAAAAAAAACAGAAAAATCTTCAAAAAGCAGAAGAGGTGGCAGCTTTCGTTGGAAATATTTCAAAAGTAAAAACTAATGTTATTGGTTTCTGTCTCTTTTTCAATAGTATGAACGAGAAAATTCACAGGTGATATTTTTTTGTTATTTATAATAGGGAGAACAAACAAAAGAATCGTTATAGTTGATAATCATTAACCAATTCGATATAATTTGTCTCCGAATATCTATATGTCATCGTCATGGTAATTAACTAATTATAAAAAAGAAATGCAGCTAGTAAAATAAAAAAGACAGAAAAAAATAACGAAACAAAGCACTCTACGAATATACAAAGCAACGGGTTAGAATAAGAAGGAAGTGAAAGGAAGTTGCTTGTTCATTTTCTACAAGAAGATGAAATTATTATTTCATATTACTAACAGTTGAAAAATTAGCCGAAATGAAGTCAACGGTGGAATAGATAGACGAATCAGACATCACATTAGGTATAGAAAGGCATCGTTGAAATTCGTTTTATATTCAAGTTGGAATGATCATTAAACTGTTGATTCATAATAAGGAACGTACGAGCGTCATCATATAGATCGCTAAACCGTTAATATGAAACTTCAATTATTCTGCTCACATTCATGCATATAATCTAAACTTTTAAAAGTAATAAGAATGAGAATAGTACAATTTCAATGAGACTTTGTTTTGAATATAAAAAATAGTTCTTCACATTTTTTTTTGAATACTGAAGACCTCTTTTCGATAATTTAGTGTGATGTTTTATTAAAGTACATACGTAATGTTCTTGAAATTGATTTCCTGCCATAGGAAAAAAATCATTTTCTTTGAATAGCTTGTCCTTCACTGACAACATCTCAATGAAATAATATTATTCTCCCATACTATGCATATATACTGTCTTTATTTCTTGTTGATGGAATAAACTATACCCTGACATAATTGCTGACATTGAATGAATGATTTAGCTAATCGAATTCTTTGCATTGTCTGTAACATATTGAAATGTCTGGTCTTCCTTCGCTGTACCATTGATTTTCTGTTTTCATCTTTCTATACATCTGAAGATGTAAGCCGAGCGATTGAGCCACCGCTGCCATGTTACCAAAATAGGCTCGGTTTTCGAAAATTTTCGATGCTCAGGATCAGTTTTAAAGTATGTTCTTTCTGTAAAAAACAGAAATATCTGTTTTTAACCGTCTTTTTCTTCTATAAAATTAATTCTAATCAAATTAAATTTATCGCCTAAGCTGAAAACCAATTTTTAATCAGTTCAATCAAGAAATGATTGATGTGAATCTATGTTTTAGCATTTTTTTCTGTATGAATAAGTAATTTTTTTTTTGGTATAGTAACTCGAAGTATGACACACATGTCAAAGACTAATCTAACGTTGTGTTTGTCGTGTGTTGAGCCGAGAAGTCCAAGAAAGTGCAAAAACTATTAGATTCTTTTCTTTGTTTTATATAACTTGTCTTGTTTCTTGTTAGCCTGTTCTCTAGCAGTATCTCCTTTCTTTTCAGTTCTAAAATCTCTCGAAACCAAAAAAGTTTTTGAAAAGAGCCATCGAAAACGTCGAGTCCTGCCGCCGCTGAGCATTTTAAAAAAAAATTTTTCACAATTGACCCATAAATAATTATACTGTTAGTACTTTCAAAATTTTCGCCTCAATTTTTTCCTTAATCGTGACAATTTTTTAATCAAACAATTCGCTGTCAAATTCCCTACAGAAAGTGTATTGATGGTTTTTATGAAATGTAAATGTGGAACATGGCATGACTGTTTGTGCAAAGTATCAAAATGGAAGAAAAAAAATAACTTGTAAAACAGTTTTGAAAGAATATTATTTGCTAAAAGTTTAAGGCAGTGAAAATTTGAATTAGTCATCGTGTAGGACTTGATAAGCTTTACTTTGCATATATACTCTTAAACAATTTCACTTAGAATTGAGAGAGTAAGAATCGATTTGTTTGTTGTCCATTTTCCAAAATCATGAGGATTTTTTTAATGATAAATTGAATCTTTCAATAAAACATATAAAGCTT